TGAAAATCTAGGTATCTGCTCACTGTTTACGTCTCCTCTCCCCATTCTCCCAACTAGAAAGCTGTAAGGTGGTGGATGGCCGATAGTAGGGACCTCGTTTCTCCATTCAGTACTGTGCCCCGTAGCTCAGCTCCTGTTATACACGAGGACCTTTGAAGTGTTGAATCCCCAAGTGTCTTCCTCGGGAACAAGGAAATGCCGCTAGTTCGTGGCAGTATGGGGTTTGAACCCGGCTCTCTCTGCCTGTAAAGAGTTAGGCAGACTCCTTCTCAGAGCTCGTAATCAAGATCGGGCATGATTATCCAGAGAGCATGACTCTGATTCCAACCTCAGTTTCCGGAAAGAGCCAAAGTAGGCTCCCAGAATGGGAGTGGCCTGGGTGTGTGTGTGTGTGTGTGCGCGCGCGCGCGTGCACGCTCCCAGGATGTGTTGGTGTGGGGCCCAAAGGAGCCCAGCTCTGACTTCAGTTAATTTCTCTTGCCCCTTGGAAGTTAGCAAGAGAAACAGGGTGAATGTGGTGAAATCCTCGTTTGTTTTGCACCCCAAGAGGAAGATGCCCAAAGGAGGATTCAGGATTGGATGAGACGCGGGGCGGAAGGCCAATGCAGCTGTCAGGATTTGAGCTGGCCTCCACCCAAGGGGGCTCACCTAGTCCGGCTCCCTATTCCACAGGTGGGGAAACTGAGGCCTGGGGGTGGAGGGAGAGAGGGATGTGCAAGTCTGCATTGGGCCTCGCTCAGGCTTTGGCAGGACAAGGTTTTACTGGACTTTGGTGCAGTCTTTGTGAGCAAAGACCTTCGTCAAAGTGTGGAGACAGAGCACCTGGTCGGTGCACGGGTGGTTGAGAGAGCTTGGGGCCAGCCAGACCCGATTTCAGATTTGACTCTGCCATTCACTGGCCTGTGATCTCGGCGTGACGACTGACCCTGGGTGAGCCTCAGTTTCCTGCTCTGTGAAATGGGGGTGACGATACCAAGGGCCATTCGGTCGCATTCTTCAATTCATTACGTGAGGAAATACGTCCCGCTTAGCTCAGTGTCTAGCGCTTCACAAGGGCTTAATAAAGGGTGCTGATTATGAGAATTATGATTGGGATCATACGTGCTAGGACTGTGGTGAGGTTAATAGGGTAATCGGGATCAGAGGAGGGCTAGAAAGATGGATGGAAGAGGTCAGTTAACTGCTGGTAGCCTGGAAGTCTCCAGAAATCCAAACTCTGCATTCAAAGCAAAGACCCCTCCCCACCTCCAATACACACACCTGGAGGCCCCCATCAGCCCTGAGCATCCTTAGGGTGCTTCCTCGGGTACCTGGTAAGCTCATTCATGGATTAGGAGGGAAGGGACTTACATCAATAGCCACCACCTAGGAGCAAAGAGCTGTGTGTGTGTTCAGAATCGAGAGTTCTGCCCCTTCACTTCCTGAGACTTTGGACAAATTACTTAACCTCTCAGCTGATGGAATCTGTAAACACGGAAAACCACTCTCTTCTGTAGAATCGTGGGGACACGCGGATGGAGTGGAGTGTTGAAAAGCACCAGGCATGGCGCCGGCACTCAGGGGGTCTGGGGGCACAGGAAGTGCATGGGTCCATGCTCCGCCTCAGCTTTTGGCGTTTCTGAAACTGCCCACTCGGCTCCAGAAGAGAGAGATTCCCAGACAATTGAAGGGCCCAGGACATGCCTGAACTTGCAGGTGCCATTTTGAATCCAAGGGGCCACTGAGTTAACTGAGTTCAGGGAAAATGCGCCTTGTAACTCTATCTAGGCCCATGCAGGTTTCCTCCCCAGCCGAGGGAGGGGAACAGGAATCCTGGGCTTTTACGAGCCTTTGGGACCTCACCCACCCTTTATCTCATCTGCTTGTCACAATAGTCTGGGAGATAGCCCAGGGAGATGCTAATGTCCCCAAGATCCCCGGGAGAGATAGCTGTGGACTTCAAAGAGACTCCCATCTGACGGGTGGGCCGGAGGATGGATGATTGCAACAGCTTTGCAAGGCGGTGAGGTCCCCTGGCCAAGGAGCCTGACAGGTCTTGGGCATTCATTCAGAGCCATTGATTAGAGATGGCAATGGTTTTTTTTGTTTTTTTTTTTGGATGGTTTTCTTTTTTTTTTTTTTTTTTGGCTTCGTTGGGGTCTGCCAAGATGCTAAGTGAAACAAGGGATGTTGAACTCATTAAAGATAATTGGGAGGGAAGAAGGAAGCTGACATTTACTGAATTCCAGCTATGTCCCGCAGGCCCCATGAGGAAGGATGAAGGGTACCCATTTGATGGATGAAGAAGTGGAGGCCTACGGCAGTGAACTGCTTTGCCCAATGGCCATCCAGCTGTTAAGATGGCAGGGATTGGCCGCTGTAAATGAGGACATGCCTTTCACTCCTAAGTTTCACTGAGTTGTATTTAACACCTACCATGTGGTTTTACTTGGGCGGTGGGGGGTCCCGAACTCCCTGACCTCCTGTTTACATGCTGGGTACTCTTGACCGTGTTCTATGGATTCCAGCCACCCCCCCTTCCTTTCTTTGAACAAACCCTATTCTCTCCTCCCCTGGCAACCTCTGCTTAGAAGACCCCCTGGCAACCTCCGCCTAGAAGACCCCTTCCTACCCAGGGCCTGTCATCCTTCAGATTGGCACATCTGGGGAAGTCTTCCCTGAGTTCTCCCTGTTCTCCCAGACCCCAGGAGACATTCAGATTCCTACCTCCACACCCACGACACGATCCGTACTCCACCATGACACCCACTGCCCCGGAACATACCTGCGGCATCCTTAACTGCGTACCGCGCTCGAAGACGCGAGCCCATGAAGGTAGAGGGCTCACCTGTCTCGGCCACGGGCTGTGTCCAAAGACCGATGGAAAGGGTAGGAAAGTTCGCAGGAAGAGCCAAGCCAAGCGAAAGCATCTATGTGCACCCAGATGCAGAGGAAGAGAGAAGCACCCAGAGGTGCCCTAGAAAGAGTCTGTCTTCTAGTCCTTCTCGTGCCTTCTGTCCCAGCGACCCAGATTCCAGACAAAGGTGAAGGGCCAGACATTCTCCAGGGCTCCCATTACGAAGCCAATATGTATTTTGTATGCCATGTGTTTATGTTTTTCCCTTTGAAGGCTGCCTGGAAAAGGCTAACAGTCATGGAAGTAACAAACACTTTGTCTTCTCTTCTCTTGCCAAAAGCAATCTTTAATCACCCCACCAAGTAATGGGCTCAGAATAGCATAATGGAAACAAAGTACTTAAAATACTTTCTTGGGTGGATAAACACAGCCGAGGGGCGGCGGGGGGGGGGGGGGGGGGGGGGGGGGGGGGGGGGGGCTGTCAGCCTGGCTCTATCCTTTTCACCGTATACACAGCTAGGAGGCGCGGAAGGAAGAGAAGAAATCTTTCCCAAACAAATAGGTAATTGGAAATTACCGGAATGCAGATATTTTTCACCACAGCATGGTGGGCCAGCCATCCTGAGGACGATGCCTTAGTATTTGCTGAATTCCTACCCGCCTCCCCCCCCCACCCCCCCCCAGCTGTCACCGAGTGACAAAAAGTAGGTCTGACAGCTGGGAGGGGGTTCTCGAAGAGTCTTTGAGCAAGATCCTTCTTTCTCGAGTCTCTGTAGAGGTGGGAACATTCTGGGAAGTGGATGGGTGGTGTTGGACGGATGTCCTTTGTGACTCTCAATGATTTACTTGGGTTCGAAAGAGAGAGGAGATTCTTTGTGGATCGGTGCTCACTTTGGGTAAAGCCAAAACCAGGAAGAAAGTGGCAAGACTGGGCTATAGAATCCACGGTGCAGATTCCTACTGGGAGGCTGAGTTAGGTATGAGAGGAAACAGATGTTCATGCTGTGAAAATTAGACTCTTAAGATGACCGTCCCCTCCAGGAAGCCTTCCTGGATTTCCGCAGTTGGAATCCATCTCTCTCTATAAGACAAACAAGACAAGAACCAGGAGGCTTCCGAAATGTAAAGATGGTATTATCTTGGCCAAGTTACTTCTTCTCTCTGTACTTTGGGGTTTCTACCTGTAATGGGGAGATAAAAATACCTCCTTTGTGAGTTTCCCTAAACATAAGGAGTTTCTCGCTCAGGGCACTTAACCCAGTGTGCCTAGAGGTCACAATTACCCAGGTGTGTGTGAGGGTCCCTAAAAGTGTGTGGGCGCAGGGGAGAGAGGTGCGGACACGAAACTAGCATCTTTTTCCCTGAGCTCTTGTGTCCCGGCCACTGGGTTAGATCCCTTTATGTACAATGTCTCTGTGGTCCTCACAATAATAGCATTTTCAAGGAGGTATAATTAAGTCCGCTTTTCACATGGGACAGCTGAGGCTCAGTGCGTTCAAATAAGACGGCCAGAGTGACACACGCGTGACTGAGCCCTGCAGGGAACTTGCTACACTCTCCACTTCCCTCTTGGCCCCCTTCTGCCTGGCGAGGCACATAGGTGCAGTGGTGCTCAGTACACAGGGGTGGTGACACTTAAGATGCATCTTGCGGCTGCTTTTTTTTTTGAGAGAGAGGGAGAGACAGACTGCAGGCAGGGAAGGGGCACAGAGAGAGGGAGACACAGAATCCGAAGCAGGCTCTGGGCTCAGCTGTCAGCACAGAGCCCGACGCGGGGCTCAAACTCATGAACCTCCAGATCACGACTCGAGCCGAAGTCGGACCCTCCACCGACTGAGCCCCCCAGGCGCCCCTGGAGAAGAACTTGATCTGCTCACTTAAAAACTCTCTGTGTGAAGGTCAGTAGATACACAGCCTGTGTATAAGGGGGAAACGCACGGGAAAGATGTTTGACGAAGGGGTGAAGATCATCTTTGTACCTGAGAGGCAATCGCTGAACACAGACCATGATATACAAGTGCTAAGCAAGTTGGAAGCCCAGAAACACTGTTCAGTCCATTTGACCCTTATCGACTGGGGACAGGGCACACCAGGTGTCACTGGAAGTTGTTTCCTTTTTTAAAAATTTTTTTGTAACGTATATTTATTCTTGAGAAAGTTAGAAGTGTGATTAAGGCTTATTTTTGACACAGAGCACGAGCAGGGGAGGGCCAGAGAGAGAGAGAGAGGGAGACACAGAATCAGAAGCAGGCTCCAGGCTCCGAGCCGGCAGCACAGAGCCCGACGGTGCTCGATGGAAGTTTCATGATTGAGAGCCTGATGCCTGCAGATCGTCCGCACTTACGTGGGTCTTTTTGTCTGCGGTGAGGGCAGCCCTGGTGAGGGTCTCACATACCCTTTCCCGTGTCTTCCTCTTCTAGACCCTCCTTGCCCTCTGGCAAGGTGGAAACCTTTTGACTTTGGGCACCAAAAAAAGTGCGTTGGACTCTGCCAGTCTTGACACTGGTCACTGGATAAGTCACTTAATGTTCCTGCGCTCTGGTTTTTCTCAATCGTGAAGGTACAGCTGCCTTCCTTGGGAGGCTGAGAAGATGTTAGTAGATGGCTTCGCGCAGGGCCGGGCTCTTACCCAGGGCCCCTCTGGATGAGCCCTTACTGCTCATGTCAACACCATGCTCGTTCATCCAGGCATCTAGTCAACATGTACAGAGTGTGGTCTCCTTCTAGGTGCTGTTCCGGGCCTGGGCACCCCAGGGAGCCAGGCAAAGGGCCTACGTTGCTTTGAGGAGGAAAAGACAAGAAACAAATGAATAGTCTATCCATGGGTGCTACAAACCAACACCTAAAAACAAGCAAGGGGTGGGGCGCCTGGGTGGCTTAGTCGGTTAAGCGTCCGACTTTCACTTAGGTCATGATCTCGCGGTTCGTGGGTTCGGGCCCCGCGTCGGGCTCTGTGCTGACTGCCAGCTCAGAGCCTGGAGCCTGTTTCAGAGTCTGTGACTCCCTCTCTCTCTGACCCTCCCCTGCTCATGCTGTCTCTATCTCTCTCCTAGAAATAAATAAAAACATTAAAAAAAAAAAAAAAACCAAGCAAGGGACTAGAGATACTGGGAGGCAGGAAGCTCCTTTTTTTATTAAAAATTTTTTCCTTAATTTTTAACTGTTTATTTATTTTTATTTTTTTAATGTTTTATTTATTTCTGAGAAAGAGAGAGACAGCATGAGCAGGGGAGGGTCAAAGAGAGAGGGAGATAACAGAATCTGAAACAGGCTCCAGGCTCTGAGCTGTCAGCACAGAGCCTGACGCAGGGCTTGAACCCACGAACTGCAAGATCATGACCTGAGCTGAGGTCAGACGCTTTACTGACTGAGTCACCCAGGTGCCCTTAAAAAAAATTTTTTTTAATGCTTGTTTATTTTTGAGACAGAGGGAGCACAGGGGAGGGGCAGAGAGGGAGGGAGACAGAGGAGCTAGGGTGGGCTCTGTGCTGACAGCAGAGACCCCTATGCGGGGCTTGAACTTGCAAGCCATGAAATCACTATAGGAGCGGAGGTCAGATGCTTGCTTAACTGATTGAGCCACCCAGAGGCTTCCGGAGGTGCTATTTTACAAAGAGGAGTCAGGAGGTGGCCTTGGGGCAGAGACCTGAAGAGGTAAGGGAATCAGACTGGTGAGATTTTGGGGAATGGTGTTTCAGGCAGAGGGAACAGCAGGTGTAAAGCCTGGGGCTAGCACGTGGCTGGTATGTTTGAAGAAAAACATGGCGGCCAGAAGCAGGGGGGCCGAGAGAGGGTTCCTTGGCTACTGAAAAGGACATTATGCAAATGGTGGCCAGGCTGGAGAGGGAGGAATGGGGATGGCCCTGATCCTGTCACCCTTGAAAGAGTTTGGCTTTGCATCTGAAAGAAAGGGGAAGCTATTAAAAAAAAAAAGATAGTGACCTAACCCTTTCCACCCTGCTTCCCCGCCCCCGCCCCCACCGCAGTTTTGTTATGAAAACTCTCAGGCATATAGAAAAGGTGAAAAATAATTATTTCTAAGACATCTATATACCCACCTGGTGGATTCTACACCCAGCACTTGGTTCTAGTTGCTTTATCGCCCATCTGTTCATTTATTTGCCCCTCTTCCCATCTCTCCATTGATTGTTTTGCCCCGGTTCAATGTAAATTGCAAGTTATCCATCAATTGTAAGTTATCCATCGTTACCTCATCCCCAAACACTCTGGCATGCATATCACCCACCCAGAGCTCAGTATTTGTTTACAGATTTTTTTTAAAGGGAAAATTTGCACACAGTGAAATCTTAAGTGCATGATTCTTTGAATTTTGATGAATTTTTGACATTCCTCTGCCTCTTGCCTCTCAAACCCCTGTGGAGATAGAGAACTTTCTTCTCCCACCCTTCGCCCATCCGTTGCCCCACCCCCAGGCAACCACTACTCTGATTTTTCCCCCCATATGTTAGTGCTGCCTATTCCAGAACTTTCTATAAATGGAATCCTTCTGTAGGTAGCCTTGTGTAAGGCTTCTTTCACTCAGCATATTGCATTTGAGACTAGAACAATGTGTAACTTGTATCAGTATTTATGTATTTTAATTGAGGGATAGTGTATATACATATGCATATATATACACACTTATTTATTTATTCATTATTTTTGGTATGGATATACCACAATTTATCCTTTCTCCTGCTGATGGACACCAGAGCGATTTCCAGCTTTTGGTTGTTTTATTTATTTACTTTTTTTAAATTTCAGGGTTTTTTTTAATGTTTACTTTTTTTTGAGAGAGAGAGAGACAGAGAGAGACAGAGCATGAGCAGGGGAGGGGCAGAGAGAGAGAGGGAGACACAGAATCCGAAGCAGGCTCCAGGCTCTGGGCTGTCAGCACAGAGCCGGATGCGGGACTCGAACTCATGAGCCATGAGATCATGGCCTGAGCCGCAGTCGGATGCTTAACCAACAGAGCCAGCCAGGTGCCCCGTTAAGGTTAGTTTTAAAGATATTTATTTATTTTTGAGAGAGACCGAGAGGGACAGGGTGGGGGAGGGAGGCAGGGGAGGGGCAAAGAGAGAGGGAGACACAGAATCCGAAGCAGGATCCAGGTTCCAAGCTGTCAGCGCAGAGTCCTACGTGGGGCTCGAACCCACGAGCCGGGAGATCATGACCTGAGCCAAAGTCCTGAGCCAAAGTCGTACGCTCAACCGAATGAGCCTCCCAGGCGCCCCAAACTGTCTTACGTTTTTATTTATTTTTATTTTTATTTTTTTAATGTTTTATTTATTTCTAGGAGAGAGAGACAGCGTGAGCAGGGGAGGAGCCCGACACGGGGCCCGAGCCCACAAACCGTGAGATCATGACCTAAGCGAAAGTTGGACGCTTAACCGACTAAGCCACCCAGGCGCCCCTGTCTTACGTTTTTAAAAAGATCCCCCTGACTGCAGGGTGGGGAAAATATGCTCTGAGGGGAAAAGACAGAAGGCATAGACCAGCCGGGAGGGCTCCTGCAATGGTTTAGGCAAAAGATAATATGGTGGTAGCATTGTTTTGATCACAGCTTCAACTTTATATATACATTATCTCAGTTAACAAACATCTGATTCTTAGAAAACTCCCTTCCCCTGGAGATAACCTGTTCCTTCTTAAGGAACCACAGGCCTTAAGGCATTTCTTTCTTATTCCATCGTGTTGGTCACTGGGTCAAAGGTTTCTCAAGTCTTCTCAGTTAACAGATTTGCAAACAGGAACTCTGTAAATGGATGCCATCAGTTAAGGTACCTTGTAGGGGGATGAGTAACAGAAGTTCCTGAAAGCCTCATGCCAAATGGGAAGTGTCGCAAGAAAGATGAAAAGCTCTTAGTAGCTTTCCATCAAGAGGACTGGGGTTGGGGTGGGGTGAGGTGGAAAATACTAATAGTAACAGCTCATGGTTTTGAGTACTTACTACAAGCCAGACACGGTGTTCAGCACTTTCGATACCATTTCTTAGATGAGGCGTGACTTAGGAACGTTCCCATTATATAGAAGAGAGCTAGGATTTAAGCCCATCACATCTGCTTCAGAGTGGGCGCCCACCACCTAGCTACACCAATATCCTTTCTGTCAGAAAGGATGGATAGAGTAGATGCAGTTGGCCAAATTGATTTTCTTTCTTTCCCAACGAGGTTGACCCCAAACTGCCAATCGTTTTTCCGAAATCACCACTGAAAAGGATACTATTCAAAATGGCAGCTTGAGCTCAAAGTGGGGGGCAGGACTAGGGTGACCAGCTCATCCTATTTGCCTGGGACTTCGCCCGTTTCAGCACTGGAAGGCCCTGATGAATGGGGACGGCCAGGCTTCCTACTCATGGGAGATAGTGTCCATGTGGAATGTTTCCATTTGTGATCTGGATTGAGTGGTGAGTTCTTCACAGACTCCAGGAAGATGAATTTACCAGCCAAGGTCTTCTTTCAGTTCCTGCCCTGCTCAGCCTTAGAACAATCTGGATAAGATCCCCACAGGAACAAACCCAGCAACTTGTACTGCTGATCAGCTGGTATTTGAGGACACACTGGCAAGTAAGTGTGCCTTTTGCTAGAAGGCCGAAGACCATCCATTGGCTCTTCCATGTTGACCACAAACTCTGAGATCCTGAAAGAAGTTTTTTCTTTCCTGTACATAGATCAGTGTCTCTTTGTCACTGCCAAAGACAGTGGGCTGCTTCCAGATCATTTCCTTTCTTATTTGGATCAGGACATTGAGTTGTTAAAGGCTCTAGAAGCTTTGAAACCTCCTCACAGTAATTCTTCCCACCTACTAAGTAGATCATCAATGAGAACTGTAAAATGCATCCAGCCTCCACCTTGTTCTCATGAAGACCCTAGATAATAGAACCACACCCAGTCAGTCTGATTTCAGAGTATATCAGCTCAAGCAATATGCCCCAGGACAGTGACATAGAGGCAGAGTAGGTCTACTGAGAACTTAAAAAGAGGAAGAAAAAAAAAAGATTTGAACAGACCCTAGGGTTAGATGAGCTAAAGGGAGGGAGAGAGTCTAGACTAGCCCTTCCCAAGGGCTCTACTCCTTGTCTCCCTGCAGGAAACTGCCTACCTTTCCAATCCTGTTTCTTGAGCCATTCTTGGAGCTGTTGACTTGCCTCCATTCTTCACCCAGTGTCTTGGCTCAGGCCCCCTCCCTCTCTTACCCAGATTTCCAAGGAGCCTTCTATTTGGCTGGCTTGCTTCCTGTCCCTCCCCCCTTCATTCTTCATCCATCGTGTGACTGATCTTCTGAAATGCAGATCCAACTCTCTGGCTCCAAGCCCTGCAATGGCTTCCATGCGTGCGCAAAGTAATGTCCAAATCCTTCCAGATCTGAGCCGCGTCTCCCTCTCCAGGCCCATCTCTTGCCGCCACTGGCTTGGAAAAATATTTGAAGTTCCTCTGCTATCTCTTCCTTGGGTCTAATCGATCTAAGTTCTTCAGGTTTTCCACTCTTGAATGCCCCATCCATTCACGGATGTGAGCTTTTGGTGCGTTCATCATGTCTGCAGGCTTTGCTGTCCCCTGTCACTGAGGCTGGCGCCCTCCGTGTCATCCTGCAAGGCAGGAAGGGGAGCTGCATTTTGAGCGATGGGGGGAAAGTGAACTGGGCCTCAGCATGGTGGTGGAATTCCTCCCATAAATTCAGCTGCTGCATCCGGGTGATGCTGGTCTTCCGTAAGTGGGGCTTTAGGAACCCGCTCGCATCTAAACATCAGCATAGCATAGGCTTCCAAGCTAGGTGTTTGGGGTTCAAGGAAGTGCCCAGATATATTCCTGAAACGGGGCTATGCTTTCCCGCACTGGTTGTAATGTTACCAGCCCTTTGCCCACCACTGGCCAATGTCAGTTCAATCACATACCGCATAGGATGTCGAATGTGCAGAATTCCGCTGCGTAACCAGTCATGGTCTCCAGCATCGGCCGCTTGAAAAGGCCAGAGAAATGGGCCCTGCTAGGGAAGTGAGCATCCAGGCCAGACCCTCTGGGCGTGGCCAGTAGACCTTACACTGCATCCTGAGCCCTCTGTTCGGGCACCAGCACCTTCCTTGCTGGTAAAGGCAGACGGAGGTCCTGGCCAACTCTTGGGGAAGGAAGAACAAAAAAAATCGGCTTTGTTCCATTTTTTCTCTCCCTCTTCTTTCTCTCTCCAAGGCACTTTTTTGCTTCAGAGAGAGAGGCTCTGCTTACGCCGTCGCTGAGCCGAAAGTCGATTTATTTGGTTTTTTCTGGGAGACGTGGCCCAGGTTTTGACAGATGTGCTGCCTGTCCTGTCATTAGGGCTGAAAGAGATGTCCCGAAACGATTGGGAAAATTACAATTTTAATATCTTTTCCTCCTTCAAGCCTTTGACATATTTTCCACTACACTAGTCTCTGGTTGCTGACAGTTAAATAGAAATGAATTTTCTTCTGCTATTTTATGGGAGGACTGTTACTAGGACTGGATTGTGTGTGTGTGTGTGTGTGTGTGTGCGCGCGCGCGCACGTGTGTGTATTTAATCCATGCAAGGAAAAAGAAAACACAAAGCAATATATAAATGAGGAAGAAATAGGACAAAGAGAGATGAGAGTCCCCTCTGGAAGCCACGGATTAGATTTATGGACATCGAGACCTGGAGATTTAGCAACATCTACCATACTTACCACCTTCTCTGGGGTAGATGTCCTAATACATTTGCATTTTCTCTTATCTTTAAAATCTGAGCCGATACTTGTTTTCTATGCACTTTACAGATGGGAAAACTGATATTTGGTGAGATTACCATTTGCCCAAGGTCTGGAAAGGGGCATGCGGTCTGTATGTACGCGGCTCTGTACATGGAATGATCCTTCTGTGCCGCTCTGAACTGGCAGGGCCCAGTCCAGAGAGTGGGTGGCTTCACCTGCTTAGGGTCCCCTTTTTGTGGGATGCATCCCAATTTGCACTTTGGGAACTGCTCCTCTGCCCTGTGTCTGTATCATTAGGGGTAAGGCTGGACCCCGATCCCTAAAGTCCAGGGGCAGGCACGTGACCAAAGGCCTGGTCAACCCAAGCGTTTCTGACACCTGGCCAAGCTGATGATTGACTCATGGATGGTCGTGGGATCTAAGCTGGGACCATGTGATTCATTTCTGAGATGCTTGAGTGGGATGGTCGAGACACAGGGACACCTTTTCCGCTGGGGTTGCTAAATCGGTAGGACTTTAGCTTCAAGCCTCTGAAGGTCTGTGCCACAATGAGGGAGGAGCCTGTGTGGAAGAAAGTCCCCTCAATGAGAGATTCAGCGCTGTGTAGTCTCCGTGTGCCCATCGGGCTCTGCCCGGGTGGAGTGAACCTACTCCTAGACTTTGGAGTTAAGAAGTCATTACTTTCCCAAGGTGGTGACTAAGATCTTGGACAGAGGGGCTGCCTCTCACCCCCTCGTGAGAACGAGGACCCAGTGAGGCATTGGTGATGGTGGTAATTCATAATAAGAAATACGTCGTTGGTCTTTGTCCCTGTTTTTGTCACAGAGCTACTATGTGACCCTTGGAATTGCCTAACTTATGAGAGCGATAAAGGTGACTTTTGGAAACTCTAAGGACGGGGACTGGAGGCCCGGGGACCCAACCATGGAGTCAGAGGGCTGGAACTTTCAGTCTTACCCCATCACCTCTGGGGAGGGGAGCGGGCTGGAGACCAGAGCAATGGCTGATGGCTGATGATGTCATTGTCATGCTTGTCGTGAAGCCTCCGTAGAACCCCAAAGGGACAGGCTACTGAGAGTTTCCTCGAGGTCAGCGACCGTGTGGAGATTTGGCAAGAATGATGCCCTCTGAGGGCTTGTAGAAGCTCCATGCCCTCTCCCTATACCTTTCCGTCTGCATCTCTTTGTCTGGCTGTTCCTGAGTTCTGTCCTTGTACAATAAACGGGGAGCCTAATGAGAAAATGGGTTTCCCGAGTTCGGAGAGCTGCTCTAGGGGGTCGATCAGAAGTATCGGCGATAACCCGGCTTTCAGTTGGCATCCTCAGTTGGAGGGGGTCGTTGGAAGCCCCCAGTCTGTGGCCAGTCGGTCAGCAGCCTGGGCTTGCAACTGGCATCGGACGTGTGTTTGTGTGTGTGTTGGGTGGGGGAGGGGGGGCAGGCAGTACTGTGGGGACGGTGCCCTTAACCTGTGAGATCTGAGGCCATCTCCAGGCAGACAGTGTGCGAATTGAGTTACACTGTGGGACACCCAGCTGGTGTCTGGAAAATTCCTGGGTAGTACGAGACACCCTCCCATGAGCGGGAATCGGGATCTGGACACCTACAATACACTTTGAACCTTTACATAAAGCTTGCAAATCTCCGATTGCATGCAACAGAAAGTGACGTTCGTTAACTTACGCAAAGACGGAAATTGCTGGAAGGATACGAAGGAGTCTGCAGAATACAAGAACAAGGTCTCTGAAAAGGCAGGAGGGGGGTGGGGGGAGCTGGGCAGTAGGAGACTAGAATACTCTGCAAATTTTCAGTCCTTGCTTCAGATGCAGATTCCTGGGAAGGAGCATCTGATGGGCCGTAAGCCCGCCCTCTGATGGTGACGTCATGATCGACAGCTGGAAGGAGCACCTGATGGGCTGAGCTCAGGCCATAAGCCCGCCCTTTGGTAGTGATGTCATGACTGACAGCTTCACTGAGAGCCTGGCCCATGAAAGGTCACTGGTTTTCCCAAAGCAACGTTGGGAAGCGGGCGCCCTGGTAAGAAACGTGGTTGCTGCGGGGATGCAGGGAGATGAAAATGACAGCCTCTCTGTCCCTCCTCCCCGCCCCCCCCACTAGGTGTAGTTTGCTTTCAATCTAGAACACAAGTGATTGGTTTAGAAGGTCGGCCCGAGCCCTCTCAGAACCGTTGATTCAAGCCTGAGAGAAACGAGAAAAAAAACCACATTTCTGAAACCGAGGTTTTGCATCGTTGCGTGTGGAGGAATCCGAAAGGCGCGACACCATTTTGTCCGCTCGGCCTCACTGCTACCTGGCGGGCGGGGAGGCGCTGGCCTGGAGGGGCCCCCCAGCTTCACTTCCCTCGTGTACCCAACCCGGTGTCCTTTGTGGGGCCGTTCCGTGGTGGCCACGAGAGACACACAGCCAGTTATGTGTCAGGCGCCGGGCTAGGGGCTGCGGACGTCCCCCAGCGCGGGGAGGAGGTACACAGTAGGGGCTGACTAAATGAGTTACCTTCCCTTTGCTTCCGGCAACGGCGTGGCTCTCCTGGCCCACCCCCACCCCAGCCTCGTCCCCGCCCCAGTCCCTGCCATCCCAGCTGTTTGAATGAAATTCTTTTTTTTTCCTTAAGTTTATTTATTTTTGAGAGAGAGAGAATGAGTGGGGGAGGGTCAGAGAGAGGGAGACAGAGGATCCAAAGTCAGCTCTGTACTGTCAGCACAGAGCCCGACGCGGGGCTCGAACTCAGGAGCTATGAGATCATGACCCCAGTTGAAGTCAGACGCCTAACCGGCTGAGCCGCCCAGGCGCCCCTGGATGGAATTCTAAAGTCTGCAGAAAGGGACAGGTATGTCCGAGTCCCACTTCCTCTCCCTACAGCCAGTCTGGACAAGAGCTCAGGTGTGAGTTCAAGGGTAAGACGGAAATCCAGACTGTGGGCGTGTGGAAGTTTCTGGCATCTGTCAGATCATCTATTGAGAGGGGAGGTTCCCTCCCCATTGCTTTCCCAAAGTCCTACAATCGATGTGTTTGGAACTGCCCAGCTGACAGAGGCCGCAGCTGGAGAGAGAGCAGCTGTCTGGGTTTCTTCCAACTGCAAACGTGGGGGCCACACCTTGAAGGACACCCCCCCCAACAACAAAAGGCCCCGGCATCAGCTGGTGGAAATGGTCCCCGAGTTCATAAAAGCTGAAAGGAAGGCAAAAGGGTTTTATTGTTTTAATTGGCAGCGGTCTCTGGATTCTGGTTTAAGAGCGCTTAGAGATTAGAACCTGGGCAGGTGTGTGTGAGTGTGCATGTGAGTGCGTGTGCACGCGAGTATGTGTGCGTGTGCATGTGTGCGTGTGCATGTGAATGCATGTGCACGTATGTGTGAGTGCACGTGAGTACGTGTGTATGTGTGAGTGCATGTGAGTGCGCGTGCACGTATGTATGAGTGCACGTGAGTGCGTGTGTATGTGTGAGTGTGCGTGTGAGTGCACGTGCATGTATGTGTGAGTGCACGTGAGTACGTGTGC